TAAAGTGACATATAACCGGCACTTTTTTTTGTCTCGTTTAAATTGAGAAAAAAAACATTGATATCGTCAATCATACACGTGGCGAGAATCATATACGTTTATAAGAAACATGTTTCTTCGTTTGAAGAAAAATGTTAGAAAAGGATAGATTGCTCCATGTGATATAAACATATATATATATATATACTCTGGCCACATGTATGATTGACGATACAGAGAGATTCGGGGAGTCGCGCCGCGACTACAGGGCTTTATAGCGATCGCGACGCGAGATAGCGAATCAATAGCGATCGCGTCGCGCGTCTTCTAAAATACGTTTCTTGAAAAGATACGACTTTACCGCGATCGCGTGGCGACTTCGCGAGTTCACAGCGATCGCGCCGCGAGTTAGACGCGAGTGTCGACCTGGGTGTGCATTGTAACTGTTCTACATTTTTGAAACATTTGCATACAAACGACAGACAAGGAAAATCCACAACTTTACGCTATACATAAGAAAATTATACACGTTAAAATAACTGACAAATACATTTGAATCAAGAGTTTACTTTATAGTTGTCGATAAATTGATAGAAAAGTTTAGCTGCAAATCTTACAAATAATTGAAATATTTTATGTTGAGTTGTTCAATAAATACACGTGGATGAATATTATGCATAAACGTCTATCATAATGTGTGAATTTTACCATTATACTGATCTATAAAAGATTTATGTTATTAATTTAATGATAAAAATATATTTTTTCCCTTTTTCTATTTTTTTAGGATTTCCTAAAGAATGTCAAGTATTTTCGCCCGATGATGTAACTACGAGAGGACCGGGTTTGAGCCAAGCTATACTAGGTACTCAAACATGGTTTACAATTGAAACGAAAAATGGAGAATCGTCCGGTGTTCAATGTCATGTGATAGCACCGAACGGTGATCAGATTAATCCACAATCGAGATTAACAAATGATGGTTTACGCGGTAAGTCTAGAAAGAATCGTTAAACTAAAGAGCTGTATATCATATTAATGCTAAAATCAGTATGCAATACCGTGGCCATTTGGATTATCTTATTTTTTTAGTTGATTGGACACCGTCAGAAGTTGGAACATATATTGTTCATATTAATTACCTAAATGTACCTGTTCCCGGTAGTCCTTTTCGTGTTAAATGCTACGATCCCAAAAAAATCGTTGTTACACCACCACAAGAGAGTTCCGTTAGAAAACCAACACGATTTCTAAGTAAGTTTTCATAACATATATAAAAGAAACAATAATAGCAACATTAATCTTTTTTCTCTTTTAGTCGATGCTAATAGAGCTGGAGAAGGAAATTTAGAAATAAGTGTTAATTATGCAGGACGAAATATTCCGAATCAGGTGAATCCACTTGGTGGTAGTCGATTCGAAGTACAATTTGTGCCACAGGAAGCTGTTATGCACTATTGCAATGTAAAATTCAATGGAGAATTAGTAACAGGTAAGGCAATTTAAAATTTTTATTATTATTTTAGAAAAATTGAGAAACTATTATTGCTTACCATAATATCTGATAATTCACTATGATATATCTAATTTGCAAAAGCAGTCATTATTCATAATAAAAGAAGTAAGTTATTAAAAATATTAAATATAAAGATGTGAAATAGAATTGTTTAATAAAAACATGTATTACCGAATACACAAATTGTTTATATTTTCGATGATGACCATTTTTTTTCTGTCTCGTCATATTTTCTGTTCACAATAAGGTTTCATTTCGTTTCGTGTAGTACGTTTTGTTTGAGGTGACCTCATATGATGAATGTCAATTTTTAAATTTACATTCATATACACACACGTTCATCTCGAAGATTGATGAGGCATATATGTCATTATCATAAGAGAAAAAAAAATATTTGAGCTCAAAAACAACTTGCACACAACCAATTTTATATTCTCTCAACCGCAACTATCCTCGCACACACACACACACTCTCTCTCGCTTACTCGCTCTATGGGGATGTGTGTTTGATATCCGTGTATTAAACACATGAAAAAAAAAATATAAAATAAATGAAAAATAGTAAAGAACATCTATTTCAATACCCAAATATGTGTGTATTTACTACTATTTTATCATCATCTTTCAACTAAATCATACTCATCAACTTTGATAAAAATAAAATACGATTACCTTTTTTCACACTGTAGGTAAGTCAAATTAGATAATTAGGAAAGTCTCAATATTCATACCTGTGTATCTGACTTGTGTACTAGAAAGATCGTCTGGCTTTTAAATTACAATGGCTACTCTAATTTAGAGTCAATTTCGTCAAATAATAATAGACATTGTACCTCAAAATTTTTGATTATTTATTATTGTTTTTCTATCGATAAAATATGTACAATAAACTATTAAATAATTCTTCAGAATATCATCATATCGATAGCTACTTGTAGAAATCTACAAATATAATATGATTGAAGTCTATATACAATAAGGTAATCTACACTCTCTAAAATATATGCGTATTATCCCAAAGTGACTAGTCTAGTAATGATCCGATTAAAAGTCATTTTATTGGTTAAAACTGTAAGCATTTTACCAAAGATCACTATGTCAAACTGTGCAGGATAAACTATAATGATCTGGAATAATTTCCGTATTATATATAGCATAGAAAATTGTTTTTCTTCACTGTTCTTTGCATGCTTGATTGCATTCTACACGTGGTCGAGTAAATTATATATATGAATCTTTTGCTCTTACTCCATTTAAGTAGAAAGATTAACAGTTTTATATTATCTATCTGTAATCGACATCAGATATATATATATATATTGTTGAACTACTTTATTAATTTATATTTTTATTACTTTATTTTTAATATTTAATCTGAATAGTTAAAAACTATTCTCATATTCATCCAATAAATTCTCTTCCTTAATTCATTTTGAGCAAGATTGTGTTAAACTATTACTTATAGCAAATATTTTTGAAGTCTATCATAAATCATTATGTCCCATAACCGACATAAAATATTAGTACAATTAATCCTTTATAAAGGATATATGTATATATAGTGTTAATGATAAGCGTATTTCAAAAATATTTATGTTAGTCAATCTGAGCTCTAGAGGTAAGCTCTTATGTACGTATGCGTATGTGTGTACTTTGTCATGTCAAGGCTTTTGATGAGAAAAAAAAGTATTTTACCCAATAATAATAATATTTTGTTCAACATATATATATATATATATATCTAAATGATTGAACGTTAGAAAGATATTATTATCTCAGCTTCTATTTACAGTAGTATCAAACGTTATGAATTATTTTCTTCAATATCTTTTCATTTTCTAGTTTGATAATTAAAATAAATCTTTCAGTGAAAGAGAAAGAGAAAGAGAGAGAAATGTGTTGTATAGTAAATAATTGTTCATGTAGTTCTTGGTTAGATCGAGAATTTTTAATATATGATGATTATATTGAATACAAACGTCAGTTATTTTATAATAATAACTCTTATTTTAAAATTTAATTATTTTTTATTTTATCTATATTCTAGGAAGTCCATTTGCGGTCAATGTTATGGATACTAATCGAGTCATGGCTTTTGGCAAAGGACTTGGCAGTGTTCCTGTCAATATTCCAACATCATTTTCAATTTTAACTCAAAATGCAGGTGCAGGTGAACTTCGATGTTCAATTAAAGGTATAAATATATCGTTGTTTTATTTGCATGTCTTTTTAAAATATATATTAACTGGTGGTCTCAAGTAACATATAAACTATGTGGGTGACGGGATAGCTGCCGTTTGGTGCCCGTTTTCTTTTCAGTCACATTCCGTTGTATCACATCCTAAACGATATTAATACTAATACATAATATTTGATAACAATTGGTATTTGGATGATATTAACTACACTCAAAGTAAGAATGAAATATAGAAGAAAAAGTCCGTTAATTGTATGTATATAATGCATGAGATCAAATACTAGTGAATTAATCGTCATTTTTTAGTTAATTTTAAGAATTAACACATAAACATTATTAAAAAGTATTTAGATGCTTATTTATAGGACCTGATGAACATTCTGTGTCTTGTACAATAACAAAAGTGGACAGTATATCATTTGAAGTAACGTATGTACCAGAATTTGTTGGTGAATATCAAATACAAGTATTTTATAATGAAACTGAAGCAGATGGTAGTCCCTATGTGGCACATTCATTTGATGTTAACAAAGTTGAAATATTAGAATTTCCATCATCGGCTATTGTTGGCTCTTCTACCTATTTTACAAGTAAAAAATATTTTTATTTACTTTTTTTCTAATTAATCTTTTGATATAAAGAAATATATTTTTTTGATCTCTCTAGTTGACGCAACAGATTCAGGTTCGGGAAATCTTGAAATAGCTATTTCAAGAAATCAACATAATATACCGAATCATGTGACAAATGAAGGAGGTGCTCGATTTCGTGTTAAATTTACACCAGAAGAATCTGGTGTACATATGGTTATTGTCAAATTTAATGGAATCGATATTCATGGTAGTTTCATTAATTTATTTTATAAAATCAATTATTTATAATCTTCAATTTTTAGGATCTCCTTTTGGATGCAATGTACTTTCAACAGATTTTACATTAAATAATTTTGAAAAAGCGTCTGTTAATAAAGAAAATATATTTTATCTTACACCACGTAAAGGTTCTCATTTGGATGAAAAAATTGAAATTTCTATTACATGTAAGCAAATAAGAATAAATATATTCTTCAAAATAATTTTATCTCATATTGTATTTATTTATTATTTAGCACCATCCGGACAATCAATTGAATCAAATATTGACCATTTATCAGATGGATCATATGCAACACATTTTACTCCTAAAGAAATAGGTAAATTATTGATTATTTAATTCATTCAAAAATAAACAAAGATTAGTTTACATATTTATTGTCATAGGTGATCATGAAATAATTCTTTACAATGATAATAAACCATTTATTACACCATTTATATGTAAAGTATATGATGCTAGTAAAATTCATGTTGGTGATCTTCCATCGGCACTTTTAAATAAACAATATAAATTTACTGGTGGGTATATAAATTGCTAGTAAAATACACATAGTCTACGAATCTATTCATTATTTTTATTCTAGTTAATACAACAAATTCTGGTGATGGTGAATTATTAGTAGATATTGAACAAAATGGACATAAACTTTTACATGAACAAGTACGTGTTCTAAATGATCTTTATCAAATTGTATTTGTACCGACAGATTTAAATGATTGTTCAATAAATATTACGTTCAATGGTGAAAATTCACGTAAGATTAATATTTTGCATAGTTTCTACAAAATATAATTTCTATTACGATATTTTAGTTGGTGCTCTAATAATTTCTGTTATTAAATCGAAAGATATTTATGTGTCACCCATTGGCACTGGTATTGTTGGTCATCCGGTCACATTCACAAGTATGTTCTATTACGAACACTAAATATTTATATCATCACGGATATAAACAATTTTGAGAACTAGTTCTCAACGAGCCTTTCGATCAGTTTTCTCTACTCTGCTCGAAATAAGTGTTGCTACTAATCAAGTTAAGTAAAAGAGAGGACTATTTTTATAAAACATATAGAAACCGGTCAAGACTAATATAAAGACTCATTAGAATATGAAAGTGACTCGTTCTCAAGACATAGTACATTTCTATATATAGTTTTCTTATCATTATTAATATTGTTGATGTTTTTAGTCGATATTGAAGATGGTGATGGTCTACTTGTTGTCAAAGTTACAGAATCTGGTCATATTATACCGAATACAATTGTTCAACAAATTGAACAATATCGATATGAAGTAACATTTATTCCAACTGTAGCTCGTACACATGATATTGAAATATTGTATAATAATCATCCAATATCAACAACACCATTGAAATGTGATGTTTTTAATATTAGTAAAATTAAAGTTGGATCAATGCATCCCGGTATTGTTGGTAGACCATTTATATTCTCTGTTGATACACATGGTGCGGGTGAAGGACATTTAGAAGTAACAATAACAGATGGTGTACGAACATTACCAGCAGAATTAAAAAGTATTCAAGCAAGAAAATTTGATATTGCATTTTTACCTGAAATACCGCAACAACATTTTGTTGAAATATCATTTAATGGGATACCTGTTGATGGTTCACCATTCACTGTACAAATTGATAGTAGAGCTAACGAATTAAGAAAATTAGTAAGTAGAAAAAAATATATATATTTAGAAATACGAGAATTCAATTTTTTTTATTGAAATTTGTTAATAAAAACAGGATGAACTTAAGAGCGATGAAGATGAAGAGTTAGAAGAAGATGAAGAAAGTGAATTGATTATTGGTGGTCAAATAGAAGGAACAAAAATTAATGAATTAATTTGGCTATTGTGTGAAATACCATTAACAGATATTTATGAAGATTTGGATGTATTTGTTAGTGGTAAGAGAGAGGATGTACAAATATCTTATTTCTATTATTATTTAATATAATATTAATATTTAGATCCAAATAATGTTGTTACAAAACATACGCGAATTCAAGATAAAGCTGGACGTTGGAAAATTGAATTTTTACCAGAAAAATCGGGTCTATATCAAATTCAAGCACATGATTCTGGTATTGATGATCCTTCGATTACTTTGGCATCAGTTGATATTTTACCATCGACATACAATCGAAAAATTGAAGGTTTAAGAATAATTTCACCGAATATAGAATCTATATACACAATCAAAGACACAAAATCCAGTACCAGAATTAATTTAAAAAGTTTGTTTCATTTTTTTTAATATTATTTTATTTTAAGTTTTAAATTAAATTGTCATTTCTAGGATCCAATGGTGATATAGTACCCGTTAAAACTGAAGAATTTGATAATCAATTAAAAGTTCACATTGTACTAGAAGAACCTGGTATGTGTTCATATTCATATTGTTAATTCATTTATCATCAATATAATATACCTACATATATTTAGGATTATATCAATTTAGTATTCAAGAAAATGGAAATGAAAATATTTATGATATTTATTGTATACCAGATTATATGGAAATATTTCAAAATTCTGGAATGAATGATATAACGAGAATGATTATTGATAAAGATAAAGTGATTGAGGGTGATATAAATGTTATTGTCAAAGGTATTTAATATTATATTATGATTTTCATTTAGTATTAAATAAATAATTATGTTGATTATTTTAGATCCAACTGCTCGTACAATACCAGCAGCATTTTATCGTAACAATGATCGAGATCTTATTATTGAATATGTTCCAACTCGAAAAGGTTTGTATTAATTTGAAACAAAAATGAATATACACGTTTTAATAAATTAATCAAATATGTGGATGTTATTTTTTTATTTTTTATTTTAAAGGTATACATGAAGTATTTATTCGATCACGAAATAATTTAATTGATTTTTGTCCAATTCGTATTATTGCTTTTACGTCCGAAAGTTTTTTTGAGCCATCATTACGTGTACAAATCAAAGAAGTTTTATCTCATATTGTGAAAAAAATGCCAGATGATAATGATGAAGATTTTAATATTGTCATTGTTGGTAAATATAATTAAAATAATAAATAAAATAGATATATTATTAAAATATATGTGTTTATTTTGAGATCCATTTGATAAACATATTTTATTTAAACAAACGAAGAATGAAGAGGGTGATGTTAAGATTTCAGTAACACCATTAAAAACAGGTATGAGAATAATAGATAAAACGATGGATATATCATCAATAATATAAATATATATATATTGTTTTTTTTCTCATAGGAAGACACTGGTTAATAATATCAAATAAACATAGAGTAAAACGTATTCCAATATTTGCATTTGATGATGATTACGTTGCAATTGAAATTTCACCAGCTCAAACACCCACACTCGAAGATTTACAACCATTAAGTAATTTACAATCAACATCAATTAATACAGAACCATTTTCTAGTACAAATTATGCTAGAGATTTAACAACAATTAGTGAAACATCAGAAGTTTCATCGGCAAGTTCATCATCTTCAAATAGTGAAAATATATCACATAATTTATTAAATGAAACATCAGCTAATGGATCATTATCTGGTGCATTCGATAAAATTATGTCAGATAATGATAAACCAGAGATTATGTCGCCTATTTCTCAAAAACCATCATCGCCATCATTACCGTCCATAAAAGAAAAACAAAAATTCGATGAACCAATAGACAAAGATTTTGTTTTAGAAATTACTGATCTTGTTGATCCAATTCTTCATACAACATCAGAATTTACATTAAAAGATAAAGATAATTTATCTATAGCAATTTATGGTAAGTATTATTAAATTTATATTTAAAATTTAATCTAAAGAAAGATAAAATATATTTCAGATGCTGAGGATAATAATATTGCATACTATTCTGAACATTATGATGATGGTCGTACACAAATATTTTATCAACCACTTATTACTGGTCCTGTGGAAATTCATGTGCTGAAAAATAATGAACCTGTTCAAGGAAGTCCACTAATTGTAAATGCTTTTGATCCATCTGCTGTTACATTAATGGGAGTTCGTTATAAAACAAAACTTAATTCAACATATCGATTTTTTATTGATCCAACGAATGCAGGAAAAGGATCATTAAAAATTGTTGTCAAAGGTATATATTATTCAATTTTCTAACTAAGAATAGACTAAATAAAATGAATATTTATTCTAGATACCTCTAATAGATCGATTCCCATAACAGTTTTAAAAAAATCAAGTGGACAAGTTGCTGTTGAATTTGTTCCTGTCTCCATTGGTAAAAATATTTCTCTTTTATTTTTCAATACAATAGATTTTATCGATAAAATATATTTTTCTTTAGGTTTGCACACAGTCTCAATCAATTTCAATAAACATCCTGTTCCAAATACACCATTTACGGTTAATGTTATAAAAGGATTGAACGATGATGAAATAACTTCATTACGTAATGGAAAACAACGATTGATTTATGGTGATGAAAATATTGAAGAACGTAAGTGAAAATAAAGATTTTATATCTTTTTTAAAAAGTGTAGGGTATGCATTAACTTAACAAATTTTAATTGATTGACAATAATGATGCTGCTACTGCATGATTAACTATATATTAATATTAATATTTATGAAACATTTTTCAGAAATAAATTATTATTTGAAGTCAATTTCCGGTTTGATTGTTCTTGGACTATCAGAAGTGATATTGTTACTGTCAACGTCTTTTACAAAAAGTCCTAGATGTAGAACGTTAGAAAAAAACTTGAAAGGCAATCATCATGTTTTACACAGATTGAACGTATTGTACTGCCGGTGTTTTCATGCATCGTGCATCATAGTTAGTTCAGGGAATGTCACACGTACACACGCACTAAGGATTTTCACGCGTAAAAATTTGGTTTTTTGCACTAATAGAAAGTCGTTTGTGCAAAATTCCAACACTTTTTGTATTTTTCAGGGATTACCTATCGAGGACACGGCATTGTCGGTATGTTATTGCCTCTGAGTGATAACCATTTCCTATAGAAAAAATAATCTTAATTACGTTCTAGAACAATATCAGCGTTTAAAAGATGGCAGTTTAAGATTGTTACTTCATTTTGATAAACCGGAACAATCAGACTGGGAAAAAATTCGTGGAAAATATTCAATTCGCTTAAAAAAATTAAACAAGATACTATTAAATGAAACTAACAATCATTCTAAGGCATCAGCAACAGTACTAATTAAGCGAAAGAAAGATAAAAAAAAACTTCGAGAGAGCACTGATATCAAGCAAAATGGTAAACCTATACAGTACATTGTAAAGGAGAGAGATATAATCTGTTTATGTCGGTGTTTATTATAGGTACAATTGAGCGCCCGGATAAGGGCAAGAGCACAACTTCATCACGAGAGTCTTCAGAACGACGAAGAGAACAACTACAACCTATAGAACAGCATAGTGGTTCAAATAAATTAAATCACGCATCAATTCAATCAAAATCTTCAAATGAAATCCCAGAACGTGGTCGTTCATTGTATCCAAAATATCAAACATTAGCTCAACAAACTAGTTATTCCCAATCACCACACCCACGTCCAAGTACAGCAGATTCACGTCAATTTTCTACATCAACGTCATCTCAGACGACTCAATCTCCTTCGATAACTCCCAGTCAAAATCAGTCAGACACAACAAATCCTTCAAGAATATCCGATACACTTCAACCTCGACCTCGTTCGTTAGACGTTCGTGGTTATGCATCAGATTATCTTAATACTGGACAAATAGACGAACGTCGTCGTTTACCTCAATCGGATCAACGTTTATACAAATCAGACGAAGATCTATCACAACTGATCTCGCCCAAAGACAAACGCCAAAATATCGCCCTACCACTGTCGTCTAAAGTAGAAGAGCCCCAACGAGAAAGAATAACAAAATCAGAAGATCGTCGAATATCGGATCCAGCAACAACAAATAATAATCGTGAACGTGATAGTCGAGCACATTCAAATAATCGTCCAAAACAGCAGCAAGAATCGGTAAAATCCCCGTCAGTGCCACCGGTATTCGATGAACAAGTACAAAAATTAATTAAATTGAAAGAAAAATTAGAAAACGGACAACCGATTGATAATGCATTTGGTATGTATTGGCGATATACTCATTTTTTTTCAGAGTGATGTAGCTTCCGAGTGCGATTTATAGAATATAGTTTTCTGTCATAGAAACAGATAAAGCGCCGATAGCTCAAAGCACTATTTTTTCGTTTTTTACACATGGTTGGATAGAGATCGTCGAGCTGATTATGGAAAAGTAGTTTTTAATACTTTTGCGAAAATATTTTTAGAAAAAAACAGTTTCGATCGAAATTTTGAGCGGAAAATAGACCCCTAAAATGTCCGTAATCAACTTTATAAACCTATCTGATTCTTTTGGTTTAGAGATGAAGTCGATCCTTTTATACCGTTCGAACTGCCACTCAACAGGAAATAAAGATATACCGCGTTTTCTTATGTTTCTTACCGGTTTTGAGAAACGTTAATTTTGTTAAAAAACGACCTTTTTTTATTAAAACAGCGAACTGATTTTTCTCTAAATTTATCATTTTAAATAAATTTAGAGAAAAATCAGTTCGCCGTTTTAACAAAAAAGCGGTCGCTTTTTAAAAAATTGACTTTTCTCAAAAACGGTAAGAAGTATAAAAGAAACGCGCGGCATGTCTTTGTTTCCTGTTGAGTGACAGTTCGAATGGCATAAAAAGATCGGCTTCATCTCTAAACCAAACGAACCAGATAAGTTTATAAACTTGGCCAGTTCCCACTCATTCTAAACAAAATCCTAAACACTTCCTGTCTATTTCCTACTACGATCTTATAGGATCTTAACGTTAGGATCCTAATAGGAAATAAGTGGGAAGTATACAGGATTTTGTTTACAAGTGAATTATTACATTTACTTGTTAGAGTCCTGTTCGGATCCTAATAGAATCCTAGCAAATTCTAAACTTTCGGGTATCTCAGGTTTCATTAGGCTTCTACAGGATCCACTTAAAAGTAAATGAACTCCTGAAAGGATTCGAGTAGGATTTCTCTAAGATCCGGTCAAGAAATGTGTAGGCTTCTTGCTAGGGCAAAACTTCGATCAAAACTGTTTTTTCTAAGAATGTCTAATCAACGTTTTTAGATTCAGTTTTTCATTCTGTATCTAAAAAAATTAGTTTTAGACGTTCAGAAGACATTCAGATAAACTTTTGCGTGGTCTTCAAAAATGAGCCGTTGCTTCCATTTTTGGTCTACCTCCGAATGTTGAGGTTTTTTCCCGCAGAAGCATTTTTAAAAATTAAAAACTACTTTTTCGTAATCAGCTAGACGAGCTCTATCCAACCAGGTGTAAAACACGAAAAAAAATAGTGTTGGCGCTTTACGATAAGTGTATGTGTGTAACAATCATATATCTAAAATTTCATCAGTGCGCTATACAAAAAAGTCTGCTATATACAGAACCCTGAAAAATTCAAAAAAACTGTCCATAAAATATTCTCTTATCGGTTCATGAATGTCTTGTTAATACTTTAGATCCTCGATTATATCCATTTAAAGTAGTGCTCCAACATCCATATCCTGTAATAAATTCTGAAGTTAATTTAATAAGTACGTAGCATCACCATACAGAATAGCCACGCTATTTAATACATTCTTTTGTTTCTAGTTAGCCTTCCACAAGTTGCATTTGTCGGTGTTTCATTAAGTGGCATTGAAATTCCCGTTAGAGCAATACGACAAGATGAAAAATCATTTATTCTACAGCTTCGTCCATTACATCCAGGCGATTATCTGATTTCATTACGAAATTACACTAACCAACATATAACAGGTGGGTGGAATGTACAAACATACGAGTTTCATCCACTATTCAGTATTTGATCACTTTTTTTTATTCAGGATCCCCATTTAGTTTTCCAGTATACAATACGCGTGGTGTCACCATTGAACCAGCTCAAAAGTACATGCCTATCCAAGATTGTAAACTATTATGTAAGTATATTGTGAGAATTTTATACAAATATCTATAAATAATTTTTTTTTCAGGTCGTATCGAAAAAGCTGGACGAGGAAATTTATTTGTATTAGCATTCTCTGATGATAAAGCACCCGTACCAGTTCATATTCAACCGCTATCTATATCCACTTCAAAAATTATTTTAAAACCATCCAAAGTGGGCAAATATCTGGTCTATGCAGCATATAGAAATATTCCGGTGAAAGGTAAGGAACAAATAATTTAATATACTTAAATAGAAAAAAGAAAATGTATACAGAAAAGAAAAAAATTTTTTTTACAGCGTACACATATGTAATCGTTTTAATAGAGTTGTTGTAATAACACCTGATTTGTTAACAATTGTAATTGGCTGGCTAGAATTGATGATTGAGAAAATGGACTATACTGATTTAACTGCGGGTAGAGTGTTGATGGTAAATTTAATAATGATAGTGTTGACGTTAAACTATTTTCTGTTGATTTTCGCTGTGTTGGTGTTGTTATTTGAACACTTGAACGTTGTTGTTTTGAACGACGACGATGTGGAACTAATGATCCAAATTCAGGCGTATTTTCATCTTTTATTGTCATCGGTAAACTTAATCTTGATGATGAAGATATTGATTCTGAATCACTATTGTCTAAGCGTCCTTGGTGATGCTGTTCTTTCGCTAAACGTTTACGACATCTTGAACGTTTATTTTGAAACCATACCTAAATAGAAAATCGGTTTTAGAAAATATACTATGTATATAGCTAAAACTATTATTAATTACCTGAACTCGTGCTTCAGTGGTACCGACGTCTCTTGCCAATGTTTCACGTCGATATATATCGGGATATTGTTCTTTCAAAAATGACTCTTCTAAAATTTGTATTGCACGATCATCAAAATAGGTTCGTGCACGTCGAGCACGATTTTTTGGAGGTGTACTGAATAAATTTGTTGGTGAACATTCTTAAAAAGGAGAAGATATGAAAGTAAGAGTGTCAGAGTAGTTACAATGTTTTATGGGTAAAGCAGTTGAGTTGCTCAATTTTTTTTATCTTTTCTTACACAATTATCAGTTAGCTGCGACAAGTAGTCTCTTTCTGACAGTGGAAAAGAAATTCTGATGCTGAGCGGTTTTTATCCTATTGAATCCTCAGTGAATAACATCACATACACTTTTTCTGGACTATGCGTATAATATGGAATGCCCCGTCTCTGAGTGCAACAACTGTGAAGCTGCATTGATGTTATCTTTAGTTATTTTCATTATCTGAATGTTGTTTTTAAAGAGATGTATATTTCTATAAGCAATATTTTCTCTATATTCGATTTCAATATCTTAACCTGTTTTGGATGAAAGTGTCAGAAAACAACCAACAGACCATCCCTTGGGTATTAGCACAGTTGTATGATCAGGTTAAGCTAAAAGATTTATGTTACCTTGTTTTTGTTGTTCTTGTGCTAATAATCGATTAATAGAATAATCATGTGGCTGGTTGTTATTGTTATTAACTGGCGACATACTGGTATAGCAGAAGAATGGCAAAGTTCAATTTTTTTGGAAGATTGTGTCTTTCACGAATAAAAGTAGGAAATGTTGTTAAATATTCAATTTATTCTGCTATTTATTAAACTAGATTTCAGTAGTGATGATGGAATGCCCAATAAAAATGAATCTGTCATATTTTCTTTTTTTCTCTTTCTTTATCCGTTCTTGTGATTGAATAATTTTTCTAAACTCTCTTTTATTGAACAACTATATCATTTAATTGTAGATGAGATATCTAAAACTATTTGATTTATAAATGATCGGTTATTGTTTGAAGTGGAACAGAATATAGATAGACGTGGTCGTTTATTTCTTTATCACAGAGATACCGTAATTGGCCTATATAAGTGTAAATATGTCTTCGTTGTCGTTGTTACCAATAACACGGATATATACGAGATGTGGATACAAACGGATTACGAATAGATAAGAAAAAAAAAAAGCATCTGTTAGATAAAACTATCTTCATATAAAAGATAGTCTTTTGCAGATAATTCAACATTTTGAGTGATCAATTATGAGATTAAATATTGTTATTTGGAGCTTAATGCGAAAACGAATCTAAAAACGATTTGAAATTTCATCGATGTTCGACAATGATCATGTGATCAATACCATGATTAACGAACTTTGCGTGACGCTTACTAGTTGTTATTTGTAATAGAATTGATTCTGAACGAAATTACCACCTGTATTTTGAATATGCAGCTTTTCTACCAGAGTGGTGGTACACCACTCTGGTAGAAAAGCTGCACGACTGGAAACTCCTGTTATCGTGCTGAAGCTTATGAAAAACTGCATTCATCAGATTGTGTATGTTCGTACTTCATCTAATAGTTTTTTAAAACACGATAGATAAAATCTGCATAAAACCCGATAAATTGACAGATTCTCTTCTGCGTTTTACGAAGTTTCGTGGTCTACAGAACTTTTGACCAGAAACTGTTCTTAGAAAATCGACAGTTCTATTATGTGTAGAATACTGATCTCATTCCAACTAGTTACTGCAATTGAGATTTTAAGTTAAAGGAAACTTGGCAGCATTTTCATAGTTCACTTTGTTTGTCCAGCTAGTCATGTGACCTATATCCAATGTGTTTTTTGTCTGATATTGAAAAAATCTTTTTAGATAGATTTTGCTTCAAACATTTCGCATTACAATAACTTGTTAGATTTGTGTCGATATTTTAAAATAAGTATAATTCACTTTTTCTCAAAAAAGAGTTTGGGACAGGCTCTATGATGTGTGAATGAAAAGTGTGTTTGTAGGTGATAAGGAGAATGTATCACATTTTGATCTGTTCATAATAATAACAGGTTAACTTTTCTTTATACGTCAGTTATCATGGTGACCTCGATTAATAATAGTGTTAACTGACGTTTAATCATCAAAGAAGTGATCACGCAGTGGACTGATTAACAATTGATACATGTTAACCGAATATAATTTGGCTTCTATATTGTTAGTACGGTACAAGAGAAATACAGTTTCTTGCGTAATTAAGGCGACTGCTATTTGTCACAGCCGTCTCAATGTATTGGACTGATGGAACAATGCTAAAAAGATCTGAGAAAGTATCTTTTTAAATCTTAAAATTAAAGTATTTTACTTCTTTTTAAAGAAGTATATTTAATAGTCCATTAGTGATCACACTGTATCTTTATCTAAGTAGCTTTTTTCTATCCATTGCTTTAATGAACGTATAGGGTGTTTCTGACTGTTTCGTATTATGAATTGTCATCTTGAGATGTTCAAACTTTTCTAACGGATGTTAAAATTAGAGCAATGTAGTAAACACTGTAACAATGACATTTTCGTAAGAAAGTAAGTGTTATGTGAACCTGGATTATGATTCGACACGTTTTAGCTTAAAATGTCTAAAATTATTTGCTCATGCCTTTGAATATTTTTTCTAGATAGGTAAAAAGTCACTGATAAAGGAAAATGTAGTATTATATACTTGTATCTTTCTATCTGTATACATATACATGCGTCTTTTCACTCCAAATTTTAACTACCTTGTGTTATGTGTCATCCTCTGAATAAATACTTCTATATTCATTCATGCATTCAATTTTTCCCTTTTTTTGTTCTACTATGTTGTGGTTTTGTTTCAAATAATAATAATAATATAATAATAATCTATAGCTTTAAATACAAATACAGAAATAGATATACGTACAACCTCAATAAAAAGAAAAAAAACGTTTTTGTCTCTCTCTCTCTCTCTCTCTCTCTCATTCTCCCTCTCTTTCACATAAACCTTTAGAGATAGGAACAATACAACTATTTTTTTGTTCTTAATGATAATGTTCATGTGTGAGTTTCGTCCAAATTAGTGTACACTATATGGTTTCATTCATTCATAACCATAGAAGAACAGTTTTCTCTCTTATTCGCTACATTTCTTAATTAATAATAAAAAAAAACATAGAGTATAATTAAAGTTTATACGTTCGACCACGAGTATAAGCAATATAAACGACAAACGTATAATTTTAATGGGAAACAAAAAAGAACAACCTCCATCTACACAAAAGAATTTTTATAGTGTAACAAAGGACAAAATAAGACTATGAACAACAACAAAGTCACGAACAACCATCTATTATTATTAAAATAAATTGAAAACGGCATATAAAGATCTTAATCGACACAATCAAACTGCTTCTATTCCTCAAAAATAAATAAAAACAACACTCTATTGATATCAGCACCAATAGTTTAACATTACCTATTACTTCGATTTATAATAGTGAAATAAAAATAAAACAAATGTTAATGATGGATGGTAATACAAATTCCTATGACGAAAGAATTGCAGTAAAAAATATTGTGGACATGTCATCATCAACACTAAAAGATATGCGAAATCTTTTGCATGATACTAATCGTTCACGAGTAGTCGATCATACAAAATTACAAAAACATGGACAATTATCACCGTTACCCGTATATTGTTTTGGTACACTATCCGAACCCATATCAGATCCGAACAATGATGATATTGTTGAGAATGAACAATCCAAAGAGACAACTAATATTCAAAATATCCTAATGGCTCCCAATTTAACAAGTCCATCAGAATTTTTAATGAATACAACGATACATGAGCAACAGTTTGACGAAGATGATAATGAAGTAGCACAACATAATAAATATGGAATGTATCATGCTGTTTTGGGACATGTAACTACTAATGATGACGAATATGAAAATGATCATGAGAACAAACATATTGAAAATGAAGCAAAAGCATCTGGTTATGAATTTCATTATGATGTTGATAATCCTTTGGAAATATCATGTTCAATGTCACTGAGTTCGGTCGATACCCTATCAGAACATACACATTCACCAGTTAATCGTCTAAATGCAATAGTTAATATCGATGGAAATACATTTAGACGTTTAAAATTAAATACAAATCGACAAAAAATACTCCAAGCAGCAAATGGTCAGAAAGAGTATGTTGAAAACTTAAGCGAAGACAAAACAAATGAGGGTATGACTACGCGACTTTGTTTAACGAGTGATGAAGAATTAAATAATAGTAATTCCCATTCACATGATAATGATATTCTTGGTAGTGATGATCCGAATGATTTAAAATCTGAACCATTAGAAAAACTCGATTATATTAAAAATAGTAGAGAAGTTGATCATCAATGGAATAAAATTAAACGTACTAGTAACAACGATATACACGAACAAGATGAAAAATTACGTAGTTTTCGTGGATGGCATATGTCAATGTTAAAACAAATTGATGAAAAATTAAAAGAAATTGAATTAGTTGACACAGATAGTGCCAATGACAATGAAAACGATGAAATATGTTTACATTCAGATAATTCATTACCACAAACATCATCTATTGATAGTTTTTATAAACGCATGACAGGAAAAAAGATTCCAACTAAACCAATTCATCAATGTATAAATAATCTACCTGAAACATTGACATATCACAAACCAGCAATAAAACATAGTTCCGATTGGTTGCCAATAAAAAATATTGAATATGTTCGTAACAAAAAAGATAAGCACATATCAGAATCGACACATCCATCATTAAAAATACGTTGCCTTGAAAATGCAAAACGTCCTTGTTCACCACCATTAATACCTGATCTAAATCGATTTCGGACAATACCAAAATATAATAAAACGATTGATCGAACATCTCGTACGCCACCAATTCACAAAGAGTCAAAAACGCTTGTAATTAATTTGCCTCCGTCTGATGATGATGATGATGATGGTGATGATGATGATGATGATGATGATGATGAAGATGATGAAGAAAAAGATCACATCAAATATCATCATAAACCAAAAATATATTATCAACCTTTGAGAAATAAAGAACAAACGGGTAGTACAATGAACGATTCTCAAAGAATTCAATTTTCAACAGAAAACGATAATAATTACGTGAGAAAAATGCAGAATATATATCAAGCTAAAACAAACATCAAATCACAACACAATCGAATAAAAGAAATACCAGATCAGTTAGCAAAATCGAATCGATACAAGCAAAAAAAACAGCAGGATCGTTATGTACAATCAGTTTCAAACAGTAAAAAACATGACAAAAATTTGTATCGTGAAAAACCACTGATATATACAGACGATTTATCTAGAACAGTTTATAAATCGTCTGCTGAATTTTCGCACGATTCACGCTGGAATAATAAACCCTTTACTGAATTTCCGCACGATTCACGCGGGAATAATAAATCTTCTACTGAATTTCCGCACGATTCACGCTGGAATAATAAATCCTTTACTGAATTTCCGCACGATTCACGCGGGAATAATAAATCTTCTACTGAATTTCCGCACGATTCACGCTGGAATAATAAATCCTTTACTGAATTTCCACATGATTCACGCTGGAATAATAAACCCTCTACTGAATTTCCGCATGATTCACGCTGGAATAATAAATCTTCTAATAATAGGCGGAATAATTATGAAGATGAACCACATTTAGGAAAACGTTTTCTGTCACAACAACAAGATGATTACGAACAACACGAAAGTGGTCGGCGTTCACGTGAACAAAGTAGCGAACGAATATTACGAGATCAGGGTGCACAGACAGAATCACCATCTCAACATTTGACAGCTGATTTTCAAACATTACTAAATAAATGGCAAAAATTAATGACCGCCTCTGTAAATTCAAAGCCTTCGAAGGACAACTATGCACCTCGACATCGACCTTCGAATGCTGACAAGCAAACAAGTACATATGAATCCGATCGGATGTTCAGTGATAATAAGACACACATATCTCCTGCATATAATCAAATCGATCGAACTCGTCAATCGAATGTGGAAGCATTGCGAAATGCATCTAAGGTAGAGTATGATGGAAAATACATGGATTATTCGAACAAATCTGGTAGACAAAATGGTTTACAGTCAACAACCCACGTGTCGACTGTAAATGCGAACAATAATAATAACAATAACAATAATAATAACAATAATGCCGGAGCCCGTTTTGATCTAAGTTTGATTAAAGGAAACAACGCTGCCAATGCTTTGTCTCTAACACCAAAAAATGCCACTAGTTTTATACAAAATAACCTGCAGAATAATAATGTGCATGATTCGTTAAATACTATTGATCCCAATCGATCGAAATCATCACGACCTATAGATCAAGTAAAATTTTATAGTTTGAGAAATAAAAGTGTAACATCACGACGTCCCGAGCTCAATTTTGGTGGACCATTAACTCCCGAACCACATATCCACGATGTTCAAGACTATCCACAGACAAGTGTTTCCGATATTTCTCAACAACCCTATTCTAACATAATGTTGGAAAGCCCACCTAAGCAACCATTATTCGAACAACAATTGAACAATTATAATAATGATACTCCTTCTGTACGAGATCCGGCAGTATTTTCAGCCGATATTGGTCCATTAACTTCCATGGATACATCGAATTTAGGTCATTTAGTAGATCGTGTTTTCGATGATTTAAATGATCAAAATTCAAATAATTTCTATCGTGATTATAAACAATTATTAGATAATATACAAACACGGTTTAGTATGATAACAAAGTCAAATAGTGATGATGGCTATATGCATGAACAACAATTAAAAAATAATTTCATCGATTCAAATGTAAATGAAATGAATGAATATACCATGCGGCGACCTGTTTTTGTAGAAGTAGCAAGCGTTATTGTCAACCACCCATATGTGATACTTTAATTTACATTTTTTCCACCACCATGATTATAAATGTATTTTAGTTTTTTGTAGTTATAAATTTGTTTTGTTTTGCTTTTTTACATTAAAAATGTACGTTGACGACAACTCTCATTTTTTTCTTATAGAAAACACAAATCATTTAGCAATGAAAGTTGGTCTTTCTTGATTAAATTGAGTAAAATTTGGAGAGAAAAAGACACTGTGATTAAAATGAAACAGTCCAAAAGTTTCTTTTACTTCAAAACGGAGAAACCGAAAATTTGTTTGTTGATGGAGATCTATTATCTGGATGCTACGTAAAAAAGAACATAAAGAAAACAGATAATTGAAAAACGTTGATCTGGTAGTGATAACGACTATTTTTTAATGAGTTAGTAACTGCTTGTTTCAAACAAAATTTTTTTAATAATTCGAATATCAAATTTAAATACTAGGATATTTATTATGATTGAAACATTAATGATTTATTTAAAACGTTATGTGTGTGTACATCACACACAATAAAAGTGATTTATCTGATATATATGAGAAGGACATGAAGTTTTGTACTATATGCGTATTAGATTAATTCATGATTAAAATCACATTGTCAGATCATATTATATGATATATTCATTTTTTTTCTGCAGATATACCAATTGAAATATTTGCCTATGATATCAGTAAAGTACAAGTCGAACAAAAGTTTTATACTCATCCCGTTGTTCATACACAAGTATCATATAAAGGTAAACATGGATAATTATGATTATATAAAACCATTAATCGTCATTCATGCGTTTCTTTTTTTTTTGATCAGTTAATATATCAAATGCTGGGCTTGGCAATTTAAAAGCAGACGTTATTCATAATGATTATCCTTATTCTTGCCAAATACATAATTTATCCGATAAAGAATTTCTTGTTCAATATGTTCCCGTTGATCCTGGTATTTACAAATTAAATATTTTATTTAACAATGAACTTGTTGGAGGTAATATAGGCAGACTTGATAATGGTAAAATATTATTATCACTCTATTATATATCTTGTTATTTAATTTATAGGAAAATCTTTTATAACAGACGTTCGGTCATTATCAGCAAAACCTATTGCTGCTAGTCCATCACCATCAACTGTCAAACTTCGATTGCAAGGACCACCAGATGCAGAAGTCGGAGATGATGTTGCATTTCTTGGTAATTAGACAAACTACATATTTATTCTTTATCAATTTTTTATTATTGTTTTTTATTTTTTTAATCATTTACTTTTTAGTCACTGCCGATGGGCCCTCGAATTCATCTGTTTATTCTCTGGTCACATGTAACTCAAAAACAGTTCCATCAAAAGTCGAACGTATTGATCAAAAATCTTGGAATGTTTTTTTTAAACCGTATATTGCTGGTAATTATACGGTTAATGTTTTTCATAATGGTGCACAAATATACGGTAATAATGATTGAATGTTAACATATAATATATTATTTTTATCAATATAATCAATCAATTTTCAGGTTCACCCATTAATGTTCAAATTGAAAATTCAAGAGGCAAAGTACTCTTGTCCGGTTTAGAACAAACTGTTTTAACTAATTCAACATGTGTTATTCAAGGTATATAATTTTGTATTGAAAATGTTGATAAATAATAGGCAATAACATAATCTTGATTTTTAGTTCATGTTGAGTCCGTAACATCAACTAATATTAAAGCTGGTGTTAGTTTAGCAAATAAACAAATTCCATCATCACTAAATATAGTAAATGATAATTTAGTGAGAATTCAATTTATACCGCAAGAACCCGGTTTATATTCTGTTGATGTACGTTGTGGTAACATGTCTGTTGAAGGTATATAGAATTGTCATATATTTCTAGTGAATAGCATTTTCATTTTATTCTCTCTTTTGAATAGGATCTCCATTTTTGATTAAAGTCGAACGACCAAAAGTTGTTCAAGTTTTTGGAGAATGTTTTAATAGATTACGATTAAATGAATTGGGTGTGTTTATTGTACATTGTAATGGTCAAAAAGGAATTGTAAAAGCAAAAGCATTTAGTATGTTTATCACTTTTACCTATACAAATAAATGAAATAAATGAAATATTGTTTTAGATCTTTCCGTTGGAGATCGTGTTGACATGCAACCAATATCATTTAAATTAAAAGAACCGTATGAACTTTTATTACAATTTGCACCACAGTTACTGATTAAAACATTTGCTACTTTATTGATTAATCGATTACGTTTAACACCTGATCGTATTACGAAAGTTTCAATAGGAAAAGATGGTGGTATGATGAAATTAATGTTGGATTAATTAATAATATACTTCAATAGTCTTTTTCTTTTTAGGAAATACCGTATGTACATTTCAGTTACATGAAAAATTAGGCTTTAATATACCACCAAATGACCATATTATTGAAGCATTGAAACATCTAGTTGATACAAATACGTTTTACCTACTTGATCCTAGTCATAGACCGTTAAATACACTGAAAGGAACAGTTTTTATTGGTAGGATTCTCATTCTTTTTTCGCTTGTATGGTGATGGTGTGGACTTACAAAAAAACTGGTGAGTGAAAAATTTAAAAGTAAAATTATTGTTGTATATTGTAATTTGTGCTGAGTTTATATAATGGAAAAACTGGTAAATATTATTTTGAAATATGCTTGAGACCACCAGTGTGCATGATTAATATCATATTTTTATGTTAAAATAGATGAATAATGTACATTATTACTTTAGGACCAAAAGGTGAACAAGTTCAAGTGAAATTGTTCCCCCAGGCCAGTGGTGATTATAGTGGTGAATTTACACCAACTAAAGTTGGTAAGGAAAATTCATAGCTTCTGATGCTAGTTGATACATTATTTTGTCTTACAGGTCAACATCGTATCGACATAACATTTGCTAATATGCCATTACAAGGTAGTCCATTTTTCACAGAAGTCTATGATCCATCAGCCGTAAAGATACTCAATTTACCAAGAGAAATTATTGTTGGTTCAGAAACTTCATTTGAAGGTATCGTTGCTGCTTGTGTTTTTTTTAATTCTGCTATTATTTTATCTCCTTATATCTTACAGTAAATCTCGAAAATGCTGGCAATGTACCATTGGACATGAAAATTACTTCTCCGACTGGTGTATCAGTGCCATTGAAAATCGAGGATTCAACATTTAAATCATCCGTTAAAAAAGTTCGTTTTCAACCGAATGAAACTGGTGTTCACTATATTAGTGCAAAAATTGGTTCCGAAGCTATTCCAAGTAGTAAAATTTATTAGAGACTATCATAACAAACACTCAACTTTTGCGATATTTAGATACTCCACTTAAAATTATTGTTAGCGATGCACGATCTGTCACCGTCCACGGAGAAGGTCTTTATCATGCTCAGGAAGATCAATCGGCTATTTTTTTTATTGATACGCAAGATATGCAGGGTGATTTGAAAGTTCGTATAGAAGGTAACTGACTCATATTTTGTTCACACTGGTATTATTAGTAGAGGACAATTTGTTATTTTGTAGGTCCAAATTCTGTTATTAAAAATACACTTGAACGAACAAACGAAGGGCTGTTTAAAGTAACATATATACCAGTTGAAGTTGGGGTAAGGAGAATGCATAAGTCTATTAGTACGAACTGGATATCATTTTTACATATTTTAGTTTCATAACATTAGTATTAAGTGGAATGGAAAAGATATTGGAGGTAAGTCGATAAACTTTGAACTGTGATTGATAGTTGTTTGAATTGATTATATCTTGTGCTTAGGTAGTCCATTAAAAGCTTCAGTTACAAATCCTGAACGTGTTCGAGTAGTTGGCGGATGGCAATCGATTCTTGATGCAGAAAATCGAATGCGTTTAATTATAAATGAAGAAAAAAAGATTCGCTTTGATACAGCGTACGCTGGCCCAGGTACACTCAAAGTCGATGTCCGTGGTAGTGAAGGACGAATACCCACACGTCTTGATCAACAAGGTTCATTATATACCGTCAGTTTTACAGCAGTTCATGAAGGTAATGATACAACTGTTTGTTCTTCGTCACCATGTATAAACTTCGAATTAATTTAGGAAAATACGATATTAATGTAACATATGATAATAATCTCTTACCAAATATGCCTCTACGTGCAACAGCTACTCACGTATCAGGACAATCGGATCATTTAAAAGTTGAAGTGCATGGCAGAGGAAGTCACGAAGCCAGAGTGAATGAAGAAGCAGAATTTACCATTGATGGATCAAGGGCAGGACCAGGTGTTCCATCGGTACGTTTAACTGGCACTAAGTCCGATGTTGATGTTCGAATTAAATCACTTGAAAACAATGTTTACTTATGTTCATATATTCCATCTCTACCAGGTACTCTATTTAAACCAAAGGTTGATAATGACGAACTATTTTAATACTCTTTGTTTAGGACCTTATCTACTAAGTGTAACTTGGTCAGATCGACAAGTACGAGGTTCACCATTTAAAATTAATGTATTACCAGCCGGAAATGCATCTAAAGTTGTCTGTAGTGGTGATGGTCTTCGTACGGGTGTAATGGGTAGAGAAATCAAATGTTTAATTGATACAAGATCAGCAGGTCCTGGAGAATTAACTGCTTATTGTCAAGGACCAGTAAAAACAGCCTTTTGTCGCTTATTCGATCATCATGATGGTACATTTACGCTCTATGTCAAACCACAAGAGACTGGACGACACGTTTTGACAATTAAATATAATGATGAACATGTTCCTGGTATGTGTATAAACATTTTTCAAAATCTAAATACACATTATTCTCATACTATAGGAAGTCCTTATATGCTAAAAATATCCGGACCACCAGATGCTAGTGAGTATGATTTCAAGATCTTTTTAATTTATTTTAACTGTATGTTTACCATTTTCAGATAAAGTACGTGTATCGGGTCCAGGTATTGAACATGGTGTATTATCAACATTTCAATCGCGTTTTACATGTGAAACAAAAGGAGCTGGTGAGTATAATAGCGAATTTTTAAAGTTAATTTATCTGAAATATTTAAAAAATTTATTAATATGTATTTCAGGAGCTGGTCAATTAACAGTGAAAATTCGCGGACCAAAAGGTGCATTTCGTGTTGAAATGCAACGAGAGCATTTACAAGATCGAACAATATTGTGTAGATACAATCCGACAGAGGTAATAAAGTTTCTAATTGTCTTACTATAAACCTAGTCGGAAAATACTTTCTGCAGTTGTGTTCGTAGATTCAAATATACTTTGAAATCCTCTTTTCTTTACAGCATGGCGATTATTTAATTAGTGTAAAATGGAGTGATGAACATGTTCCTGGATCACCATTTCATGTACATATATTTGAAAGACAAGAAGAACTCGAACGATTTTTACGTGAACAAAATTTATTTCGACAAAACTGGAGAGAAGATTTATAGCATTGACACACACACACACGCGCACACACACATACGTTCGCTTAATTTTTGTTCTTCTTCGTAGTGTCAGAGTGTGTTGATAGAATGATATGTTTCTTTCTTTCTCTTTTTGTTTTCTCTATCCCTGTGTTGCATACAAAAAATTCAAAAATAATTTTTATTTTATCGTTTCCAAAAAAATTCTCGTTTGTAGTAGATAGATTTGTTTATTTGTTTTTTTTGTATACATCGTTTTCATTGTTATTTAACTCTATCTGTTGTGTCTTTTTTTATATACAAAAATTCCAAATAGTCAAATTCAATTATCACAATTTGTTTAAAGGTTGAAAGGTACGAGTCTCCAGATCATTATACAGCCTAAGTGCAATTTATATACTCATTGTACAAACATGAAATTGATCAGTTTAAATACTCTGCTAGAATGAGTCCAACTGAAATCAGTACGAAGAACGCGTCAAATAGGAAATCATTATCAATTCATGAAAAAGATATATAAAATATAATTTATGATGACAAGGTTTAATTCGCATGATAATACGACTGACCGTTTTTCTCATACCTGTCCGCATATGCGATGTGTAAAGTACGATTTTCACTTCTTTCTCATACATCCAGAGGAATGATAATTACTTCCGCCTCTAATCGAGCCATATGTTTACAAATGGTTCAGAAATAAATAAATAAATGGATTGATATTCTAATCACCTGCCAATCGAATCAGGTGTTTGGCCTACATACTATATGATTAGGGAGAACACTAAAACGATTGTATAGGATAGATGCTCTGATGTAAACAAGATAGTTTGCATGTATATCACGTTTATAGAATAGTTTAAGTTTTTTCAATATGAAAGACATTGTTTCTAATCGTCAATATACGGAAAGAATAAGTTGAACGGTTATATTCAATTGTTTTTTGGATAGAAGCAAAATAAAATCTTAAAAATATGTTTATCAATTATAAGTTTTTGCTTGAGATATGGTTAATGACATTTATTTCTCAATTATTTGTGGTACGAATTGGAAATAAAAAATTTGATAATTATGCTCTAAGAGATGCTGCGTATCCTTTGTTGATTATTCCATTCATTTTGGATTTAACTGTTTATGTGATAGATTTTTATACTCATGTTATGATGATAATAAAAGAACAATGTATTTTAAACGAAATTTATGAAGTCATAGTTTCATAAATAGTGTATAAAATATGCACTCCCTTTGTTATTTATCCATTGTGTAAAAATGTTATTTATCCATTGCCCATGGGAAAATTTTAGTATATAAAAGTGAAAATGTTTCGTGCTAATTTCATTGTGAAAAACATCGCTTCACGTTTATTCATACATCAGTTTTTTCCGCAATCCATTTCATGAATAACAATCATGTTTAACCGAAAGTGACAGTGTTTAGATTAGTTTATAAACTAATCTATCATATATGCTTTACCTGTAATGATATACCTTACCACAGAATTGTTTACAGAGCTATTTTTATTTGGAAGGATTATTATGTATTTGAGAATAAGCGCGTAATTTTTAGTACAAACGTTGAAGTATAGATGAGAAGTGATTGTGTACAAATACAAATTCGAAACTTAAAAATTATGTACTGTCTGTGAAATTTGAATATTGAAGATAATAATAATATTCATTTGCTCTATCATAATAAAATGACATTTTTTCAATAATACACGAAGATGGAAGAAATAACAAATCTTGTAATTTAGGAAAGATTTTCGTATTCTAATTTTAATTTATGTTTATTCTATTTTCTGAGTTCAATAGATATAATAACTTTCCCTGCAGTTTGATACTTTTCATACTCTTATTATTTTCCTGCTACACTATTTATCCGTTTTTAAAGTGTGAGTGAATGCCAGCTCTTAGTGCGAGAGGAAATATTAAATAGGATACTATCTATAATTTCCTAAAAAATTTCTAGAACTATCCAAAATTTAGATATTTTTTAAACGAAATTCTTGCGTTTCACACGCGTCTAAAACTTTTTGACGTGTGAAATGTCATGAAGGTTGACCGGTAAGCATAAATACGAATTATCCGAAGTTAAGCTGGCTCCTATCATTCAGGTAGCCAAGCATTTGATGTTGTAGCTACATGATCCGGACGCCGTGAACCTTACTCTCTTTGCCTACAAAACTTTGTGAAAGTTCAAACTAACATTTCACAGTCTCTCATGCGCGAAAAGCCGATAAAATTTCCTCCTGGGTGGCTTTCATTCTTATTTTTGTCTACCTATTGCTTATCCTTTGTGCACGATTGTACATATCTGGATAAGCCTGATTACAATCGAAACATTGACTAATGTAAAACAGTGAAATAAACTTTAGCAACAAATCCGCTCAGTTATTAGTAGATTTTCATGTTGAACACAATTGCTTGAAAACAAAGCCAAAGAACGATTCGAATAAGATAAAATTGATACGTGTTCTTAAAATGAATATCATTTGTCTTATTTTATAGATGAAATACAGCAACTAGTAAAAATATCTGACATGCAGAAGAAGTTATAAAGTATTTTATTGACTTTTGCCGTGTGATAGCTATTTGATGAAGAGAGATGAAACTTTAAAATTTATAGCTCTGAAAGTTTTTCTTCTAAATACAGTTGAACAGCAGCTACTAAGGAAAAAAGTTCTATAACTAAAAAGCATTTACTGAAAAAAAAAAATTCCATTTCGTCCAGCTTCTCATTATCATCCAACGAAAAGACAAAACCTTCAACTTTTCATGATATGTACAAGAAATATTTAGCTAAAAAATGCTGTACATAAAACGAATCAAGAAAGGACGAATTAAGAAAAAATTTTTAATGGAACGGATGAGAAATCAATTAGAAATGAGTGAAGGCTTGACCACTATTTTGATGAACGTAAATTACTACTTTTTTTGTAAATGCTCAGTGATTAATTAATCTGTTCTCTGTTCGATTATTTTATTCCGTTCTGTTTTTAATTACAAACTATGATGTAATTATTAAACCGTTCTTTATTCTCTTTTCAAATCTTGTTCAAAGTTAATGTGCAAAAAAAAGTAGTGTGCATATCTCTTAGTAAAAATGAAATACCTTCGTTTGACTTTGATTTTTTCTTCCTTAAGACTTCAGTGTGACAAGATATGGGGACATTGTTCGACCGTATGCGTAGAAAGACTATATCAAATTTATAGACAATTTCTATTGATCAATAATAATTTTTCTTATATATATTTGGCTGTTGAATATTTGCCAAGATTGTAATAAAAATTTGCATGACAAACTTATGACAGTTTGGTATAGTCATATCGTATTTTCATCGTATTCATTCTTCGACTTTTTGACAAATACGCTGAAAATACGATACAAGTGTTACCATTGCATTCCAACAAAATCATTGTTTTCATTTTTTAAAGTCATTTTAGGATATTTCAACACATGATCAATATTATTATTCTATGATTATGCTCATAAATTATATGCACGCTGCGAGGATCACAACTTATTAATAAACTTACCACCCACTCTCTAAAAAAAATCCGTAGCTTACAAAACGAATAGCGGTTTTGGCATTTGCTCCTAATAGAAACCGATATCCGTGTCGTACGATCCTGCGTAACCGTTTCGCAGAATACGCTTCAACATTTTTTGCCTTGTGAAGAAACGGATTTAGGTTTTGTACCAGAGAAAAAATGTTGAAACGTATTCTGCGAAACGGTTACGCAGGATCGTACGACACGGATATCGGTTTCTATCAGGAGCAAATGCCAAAACCGATATTCGTCTACGGATTTTTTTCAGAGAGCACACATGTAGAAAAACTTTGGATACTTAAACGCGTTTAATTATAGGTTTGAACGCAAAAAATCAATGCTGCTGAACGAACGCAAGTTACAAGTTCATATGCATTCAAAAGTCCGATGCTTTCAAACACAAATTCTGAAAAAGTTAGAAAAATATTGTGTACAAAAATTGATGATTGAACTGAGGATGTTTAGAATTCATTCGTTTGAAGAAGTATTTACTCTTCTAGGTAGAAGGAACAATACACGAAACCATGATGTGAAAGAAGAAACTGAACTTGTTAATGTTTCATTTGTTTGTTCAAGGGTTGTCAACACATCAGTAGCTTTAAATATGATGAAGAAGAACGATTAATTTATTTTTCTTTAGCTATTTAAACTGAAAATACCTTTAAACATATTGTGCTTTCAACTAAGCTAAAATGTTTTCATCCCAGTCAAATTACTAATGTAACGCGTATAATTAAATTCTTTTATGTTTTTGAAAAGCCTAAAAACTAATTTATTATATTGTACATATTCTCTTAATCAGCAACATGTCGGACGAGAATGATATTTATAACCAGCGCTGATTGTTGAACTTGTACTTAAACGGAAAGAATTACTCAATACTGTTGGCATACCCATTCAAAAACGATCCAACAGGATGTTGATCGGTCTTACGACAATAACCATTCATTGATATATTTTAGTCGGAATGTACACATATTTAGGATAATGATATTGCTATTTGAATAACAAACTTACAGACTGATTACGTCAAGGATGTATTTATTAATGTATATTTTAAACCATTGTCATTTTTGAATTTCTTAATAATAAACAAACAAGGTAAAGTATGAATTTAATCTTATTAAAAACACAATAGAGCTTCAATAAAAAGAAGTTAGCATTATATCGTTAATACTCATATTACTAAATACTGACATATCACTGTCCTTTTCAATTCGTTATACATATAAATACTCTATTGTTGTGATTTTCCGTGACAATAAATTAAATTTATATAAATGTATAAAACTCTTCGAGAGTATTTGACTAAACCATGCTTTGTGAAATTGGTCTGAAAACAGAAGTTATCTCAACCTTTTATGTTGTTTGTCTCCATTCTAATCGAATTATGTTAATCAATGGGTACAATTGAGTATTACAGAATGTACTTCTTTCAACTGAACTATTATAAAATCTACTTATAAGAAGCGATAT